ACATAAGCCGTGGAGGTAACTTTCGTGCCACGAAAACTGCAAACACATTTGACTATTCCAGCAATAACCATTTGCTCGAAGCGCTATAGGCTGAATTAGTCGTTTGTTGGAGAGCTCGACAGCTTAGGGCTTCCCATGAATAGCGTGTCAAAATATTTATGTCTGATGCAGAGTAAAACTGAAAAATTAGCGGGACACTATTAACAACAATAGAAAACTTTCGTCTAGAGCCAAACTCTGTAGTGGCAGAGAGAACAATAACAGAGTTATACAATAACTCTGAACGACTCACTGAAGGTTTACGATGTAATCCATTTTACCGGAATTATGGCTGTGTAATGATTACAGTTTGTTTGTTCGTGTCCTTTTTTACCACACACATGACAGATTCGGTTGGCATATGGACAGTATTTCAAGAAATGCCAGTCACATTTCCAGCATGTTGGTGGTGGTCTAAACCAGGGTTTGCATGATGCATTACAAGCTTTCGGTTTGTTTGGGGAAACTTGTACCGAATACACGTTATTGTATTTCGGACCTCTCGCTATCAATGCGGAGTCTATGTTTTTTATCCATTGACATTCTTCTGTTATGTTTTGCAGAGTGAGGTCCAGGGAATTTTCAACTTACGGTAGTATACGATTACGTAGTTTCGTATCGGCAGACGACTGTAGTCCACTGAAGAATAGCAAACATTTGAACTGGTCCATTGAGGGGTGCTATAGTTTGACCCTTTCGGCCTCCAGGTTGATTCTCCCTATATATGTCACAAAATCTTCTGACTGTTTCTTCTTGACTTGGAGGCACTGATATGAAATAATGAAGTACGAGCACTGAATATTTGGGCAAAGCACCTCACTGTTTCTGAAAACTGTATGTTCGTTGGTTTGCAAGGTAAGATATAGTTGGTATATCGTTGGTGTTCAACGCGGTCAAGTTTGCCCATGAGCAGTCTCACTTTGTCAGTGTCTTCCCACAAAGCATAATCCACGGTGAATATATCCCAAAATCTTGTGCATCATAATTTAAACATCAATTCTGCATCCGAATCATTTGTGAATTTTGTAATCGCATTGGTGAGGTTATCACTGTTTAGATCTGCGATTCTTGATTGAATCGATGAAGAAGAGCGAAATGTAAGCATATACGCTTAAACAAGTTATACAAATACAAATACACCTGAGAGGAAGAACAAAGGCCGTCTAACTATCAGATCCGTGTATGTTCGAATGAATACGTCAAACACTAAACCACACGACAAGAGCGATCATCATAACACCATAAGTGGTCAAAGTAAGTGACACTGTTTGTTCAAGTGCTAACCATTGACACCTCTAACTCTCTTTGGTTATTCTTTTGACGTTATCAAAGGTTTAATGTGACGATTACATCAGTTTCGAGACGTAGGCTTTGGTTAGGTTGTTCACCTTACTTATATAAGGAAAAATATTGCAAGTTAAACAAAATTTTAGCATATTAACTTATCTTTTAAACATGAAAAAATTTTCAAACATTTTCATTTCGAAGCTATTAGGTCATAACTGTTCAACGTGAACTGTGAAGTTCTTGATGGCGTCGGGGGAGTAACAGTGATTTTGCAAATCGGATCATCAAGCTTGTTCTGTCCTCCACACCTCAATCGATCGAAGGCAGCAATCGCTATCAGGTTATTAGTTCTCGGTCTATCTACACAAAAATAGTCGGTCCAAGCTCTTCCGCTTCCTTGACAGACTGTGAACTGAACAAACGGTCAAATGTTGTTGGCGGTATCATGTCAAGCAATTCGCATCGTGATGATAGTGTATTATCCTTGTAAGCAGTTTATTCCAATCCACGCGTTTGTTCGTTACCCCCACTTATGTGTTATCCCATCCTGTCACACTTAATTACCCCAACTTGAATATACACGTTCTCATATGAAAAAGCATAACTGGCATATTCAATATGAGTTTTAGTGGGTCTTACAGCTGGATTTGTGTTTTGACAACTGCGGCTTGTATAACGCTCATTTACATTTTGTAGACAAGATATACTGATCTACTAATACTTAATAAGTTATCGAACACTTTCACAGTTTCTGGTTGGTGGTGGCTTCGGTAATCACTATTCAAAGAACGAACACGGTGGTGTTCCCAGCATGAACCTGAATTGAGAGATGGGACAACGGCAATACGATTATTCGAAGCCAGTTTGCATTTAATACTTGTGAATGTCACACGTTGAACTTTATTCACCCGGTTTACTTTGTTTGGTGGAAGTGTTTAAGTAAGGTTATATGATTTCAGCGACAATGATTATCAAATTCAGAGCCTATACTCAGAAAAGTGCATTTTTGAAAACATTCCAACTTTTTACCTGGTATTTTTTTAAAACATTCCGTGACTGTTATGCAAATTAGAGTATAATTCGGCAGCCCTCGTTAAGTTATTTCTATTGCAGTTGATTTGATAGAGATACCTTATTTCTTTCAGGATATATGACCAAAATGGTGATTTTGATTGCTCAGTACTTGAAGGTGATTATTCTGTGGTGGTGTCACAGAGATGGAATATAACCTGAAAGTCTGGAATAACCTGGATGTGAATCTGGTCAACACTGAAAGGGTCAGAGGGAATTTACTTGTTTAAGGTCACGGGTGAGACAATGTGAAACGATGGAGCAATCGCACTGTACATCGATCGAGCATGATCGACTTTTGACATCTCTAGGAAGCTTGTCAGGGCCGATGAGGCCAACGTGGCAAGTTGAAATGATGGTCAAACATCTTGAAATGATATTCGGACGACTTGAATTGCAAAAGGTATAGATCTACGACGTCCATGATGTCCTATTCAAATCCCCAAACCTATAAGCGAGAACAATGAGCTATGCGAATATTTTAAGAACTTACTGACATCAAGTTTCCACAACCCAGTAAATCTATCAAAAGGCGAACCATAAGGGGTATTACCAGTAGCTGCAGCCTTATTCTCCTACTAACTGCTTCACCAATGTTAGCTCTCGTTTCTTAGTATTAATGTAAACTGGCACCAAACAGACTAGGGCGTGACATCAACTTGGCTCTTTGAACACTTCTCAAATAAGCGATCATGGATGATTCCATTGTTGGTGCAATGGCATCGCACCTGACTCCCTTGTCACAAGGGCAGATGCAACGATTGTCTCATTGATTTGCAGCCCTTAAACACTGAGCCAACCGATAGGCAAGAGAACTGAAATTCATCACAACAGGGCACACTGTTGGCCCTCATACATAACTTTTCTCAGATGTGGCTTGACAAAGCTCTATTGCGTATGGGGCGCAAACCTAAACGAACAGATTTCAGAGTCGACAGGTTGTTATAACTCTAAGCCCCTAATTAGGAAGAACACTAGTCACTGAACTGGAACACGATTTACAGGGTCAATGGGTGAGAGATATATGTAGATCAATAATCATTAGGCCTGTCGATACTGGTAAGGTCGATAGCGAGACCGACCAATCACGTAACACCCGATGCAAGCGATCCGCGGTACGATTCGAGCTCTCATCACACAGGTGTCAAGAGCCTCGAACTTGAACGGAGATCAAACAGCAGCTCGTAGAAGCCATACAGTCCACCTGAGCTCGATTAACATGCCGCATATGAATGAGTGATGAATTTAGCAAAAGTAAACCTTCAGGAGCATGTAGTTTTTCTTTGCTTCAATAAAGCTTGTTGATTGAATGCCTGAGCACCATTCTAATTCGTCTAGGAAACATATTAGTGCTGAAATCGCTGACAATAACCAGGATGTCTACAAACAAATATTGTGGAGCGAATGGAATAAACTGAAAGGGAATTTCTCCAAACTCAAGGAGAATCACAATCAATTTGCACACATATGGGCAAACAGAACATGCAAAGCTATTTCTTTCCGTTACTGCAGTTCCGTATGGGCATACCGTTGACCAGTCAGTGAAATACGATCGCACATAAAAAGGACATCTGAACTTGGGAGAACAGGTTTGTATCTCAAAGTCTGATTCGAAAAAGTGAACAAATTATACACATGTAAGCTTCTTTCGGTCCGTTAGTCGTACATGGGGCATTTTCTGAGCGGCTGATTTCCGCTTAGATGTCAACTCGAACTTCATGAGTGAACTTCAGCAGCGCGCACGTTATGAGACAAGCCGTAATTAACCAGAGGAGTATTGTCATAAAGAAGAAGGAATTGACCATATTTTTCACGTTGAGTGCTTTAGGCTGAAGTTTTCAGTTGATCGAAGTATGCATTCATTGAGGTTTAGGGAATCACCTTAATTAATTAATATTCAAAATGGAAAACGAAGTAGCTGCCAGGCAACAGAGTGGGTAGCATGCTTGCGCTCTACCTGTAGTGTCCCGGGTTCGATCTCTAGTTGGTTCTATGGGTTCGTACCGCTGAGGAGACTCAACCAGACCGAAACAACTGTCCAGTGCATCTTAACTTTTCAGCTCACCATTCATTTGCATGATGAACTCATCATATAGGAGAAATTAATCCTTAGAATAAATAATTCTGAATACGGCGCAAACACATTTCAGTTTATTTCAAAGCCATATCTGAGACGTTCTATGGTAATCGTTTGAAAGTGCTAGGCACCTGATATCAGTATTTGCTTCAGATCTTTCATCAGGATTCAAGTCTGTGAAGCACGGCAACAAATTAGCGTCATTCGACAGTCATAATGAGTGAAAGAGTCTCACAGGATTACTCTTTATGGCTGGTACAGGAAACAACTATGAACGGAAGGTTGTTCCTTATTTAGTAATGCACATAGATTATTCGAAGCGGTCTGATCTAATCACAAAAACCAGCAACTGGGGTAATTTTTCAATTGATCAATTAACCAATGAATCCACTGGTTCTGTAACCGGTAGGTATATAATCAATCACAGGATTGGTTCCGCACGACAGCGTTTTAAGGCAGTCCAAAACAAATATGGTCTACTGAAGCGATTTATTGCTGTCCCGCTGTTTGCTTGTGCAGATTGAACTTAATGATCACCAGCTTCAAAGTCTCCATCGTAGCCATGAGGATTCAGACGCTGCCAACGCCACTGATCTTCACACATTTTCTGTTTAAAAAACAAACAGGAACGAGATATTAAATCAGGATAGGATGAAAATAAAATTGCCTAAGAAATGCCCACACCGTATTTAGTAATAGAGAAAAATAAAGTAAAATAAGAGATATTGGAAGAACTCAGTTTCCTTAGATTGTGGAGAAGCCTCATTCTTCCCCAAAAATGCTTTCGTAGAGTGCCTTTTAAAATATTTGATAGGTAAGTTGTAGCCAAAACTATCTCGAGGTGGGGGTGTTTCCATTAAATTAAGTGAAATGAGCTCCAATCTGGGGTTGCAGACGGGATATTGAACCGCGGGCGTTACACTGGGTACCCTGAAATTAAATTTCCTTTTATTGTTTTCCTGTCTTTATCTCAGAGGGAAGACAACAATTTTTCCAATGGAAAAGAGAGCATGGATTTTTGTTCAACCTATCATGATCAACAGGAAACAGTTACCTGTGCATTATGAGTGAGCTCAATCCAAATTTTATTGCATGCGATATGTGCTACTCATGAGTAGTGCATTGTATAAGTTCTTAAAACCGACTGGTGCTTTGTCCAAGCTGGCCCCTAAAGTGAGCCTTATCAGAGAACGAGGTATTCTTCTGAAGACCCTGTTTTCATTTTCCGACTTTATTAAACAAAACAACAACCGAAATGCTCCCGATAAATTTCTAAATAATTTAACTTACTGCATGAGCATTCACGACTTTTGACATGCGAAACCACGCACACGAGGTGATCGGTCAAGCGTGCCAGGTGTGAACTTTCCCGATGGACGTTAAGCAACGTAGTTCAAATTACGAGCGAACAGCCTCGCCTTTAAAAGGCCTGAATTAAATTTTGTAGTGCGAACAATTCCCAAACCCATTCCCCTCCTCCCATACAAAAAGCTTTATCAAAAGTCGACATGAAAATGGTGAATTCTAATGCTCTCCCCACCTTTGGTTTTGTTGAAGAAGCGTTGGGAACTATATTTGTAGCAAATACTGTTGCTAAAACAGTCGAGAGAAAGCCTCTTGCATGGTTGATTGTCTTAACATTTTCGGTGGGTTGTAAACGACCATAATCGCCTCTGAGTACAAACCAGGAAGGCAGAAACCAGTAGCCGAAAACATTGATGCACCTAATCACATGAGATCCATGGATGGAACGGATCTCACTGAAAAACTTGGGCATCGTGTGCACACACACATGATCAGATAACAACAAAGTTCTACTCGATTTCATCATCCCATCGCCTTATGCTTGCTTGTAACGTGAGATTAACCGATTAAACGATTTGAGAAAGGCCTTCTAAGAGGGTCAAGATGTTGCCACCAACGCCTTGTGTTTTGCTTTTTCCGTTCGACGTGCTAAGACAAGCTACTTTCTCCACCTTTTGCAGTTGTTACTAACTTCGGTGTAGCTGAACTTGGTAACTAGAATCGTCTCTCGATTCACGAAAACTCACATTGACGGAAACCGTTGAAAGAACCAATTCCTTTCAAACACAAACTTTTATTTTTCGGCCCGGATTTAGGGCTTTGCGGCTAGCAGCGCATGATATGCATAGATGATACAAGTGAGGGTAAACTGAAATTTCTTCAGGGTGTTTTTCTCCGTATGTGCATGAACAGCATTGTGAAGCGCCACCGCTTGCCAGTCAAGGCCATCATTGTTAGAAAGAAAACGTGATACATATCGCTACGTTGTATGGATGGTAGGGTGTGCAGTGTACGTGAAAATCATTTTTCACGGCGAAGCTCCACAATATGTTTGACCCCGAGGTTATATTCTGACAAGCTTTATTATTGGCCAGTCTGCTACCCTCAGTTAAGGATATACACCATTTATAATTATTGAACAAAACGATATGAATAAAATCATCGTTGAAACTCTTGACAAGTGAAGTAAATTTCCTAATCCGTTCTCATGTGCAACACATGAACTTACATCTAGATCATGAACTGCCTTCCATCTGAGTTCGTGGAAAGCCAGAGATGGATCAGCATAGATAGCGTCCGTATCCCCTCGACGTCTCGCGCATATCCTATAGGGAATACGTTTTCCGCTAGCTTTTTCCATGGCTCGAATGATCTCTAGTACCGAATAACCCTTTCCGGTACCGATATTGTACGCCTCGTGCAAATCAGAACAACAGGATGAGAAAGACACTGATAGTTGAACACAAATAGGATAGAAACTTCTCACAGATGTAAAATGAGGTGGAGATTGACAGGAAGTGTATCTTGAGAAGACATATGGCGAACATAAAGGGGTTAATTTACGATTAAAATTCAACGCAGAGTTAATTGTGAGTGATGACTTGGGGAAATTGATAATAATTTTGTGCGATCATTCTGAGGAAATCTTCTTTAAGCACAATCCATCTACATCTAGTCAACCATGCACAACGATACAATCACAAAAATAATTAGACCTAGGTTTCGCTATTGTTAGAGCTTGTCAGTTGTGTACAGCCAACATCCAGTCGGGGAGTCGAACTCCGGGCTTGTGTTCTAGTACTATAACAATCACACTCTGAGGCTGACTAGAAGCACCAGTGCGCAATTTTTTTTCACAGGTAGTCTTTGGGGACCAACATTCATAGCATTTGGCCCGATAGCAACCAAAGGAAACAGAGTTCTCTCTATTAGCTCCAATCAAAAGTTTTCCACTTATTTAGGTTTTTCACGCAGGTTAGAGTTAATGTGGCGAAGTACACCCGGTTACACTTAATGTAGTACTTAATTGAATTGGAATAGTACTATTAGGAACGTGGGCGATTTTCGTATTTTATTTTCCCCATAAATATTATTCCACTCATTTCAATACCGAAATAAGATGACTCAAATCAGCCCGTTTGGCATACTGTAATGGGAAAGAATCTTACGATCAGTGAACTTCGTGGTTCGTGGTTCCTCTAAAATGGATTCTTTTATTCCTTCATTTAGACAAACGAGATCGAAACGAATGAGCACTTTACTTTTTTTGTTTTCTTGCCTCTTCTTAAGACTAAATTGAGCTATAACCGGAAACACCTAACGATACATGTTTTCTCCCACAGTTTTATCCAGTTTTTCTCACCGTCCCGCCTACAACAGTGAGGGCTCGTGTCTGTGTATATGCTGATTTGCCAAATAACTGTATTTTATGTTGTGCAAATTTGGAACTCAACCCGGGCAAGATTCAAAAAAATCGGACTGCTCGAACTAATGGACCAAGGTTTATAGAGAGGAGCGTTCTTTGCTCAAATAACTGATAGATCAGCTTACCCGAGGTTTTCATCAAACAGCTTCTTTTTACAAAAGTATGCACTTTCACTTGGACGTATAGATTTTATTCGAGATACACTCAGAAAAATTAGTAGTTCAATGCAGAACAATTTTCTGCACAAACCTGCCCGTTAGAATGGTGATGTTCTCAAGATCAAAGAGGCTAAAATTTTACATCTAACTTTGAAAACGGATCAATTATCTTGAATATCTGAACGGCGCCCCCGATTTCATAATCCTCTACATAAAACAACTCAATGGCAACTGATTTTGTGAAGCAAAATGCTGTTCCTATTCGTTAGGTGGTCCCAAGGCTGTTTTTTATTTCACAAGTCAGCAAATTTTGGCTCCTAATAACAAAGTTCGAATTTTATTTAGAAGAAAACCCCAAGTTTCTGAATATTAATGCTTATTCAAATGACATAAAGAGAATGAAAACAGCATAGTTCTGATTACCTTAAGTCCGCAATTGTTGTTTAACATACGCAGTGCACTGACATGCGCTTTGGACAAATCCACAATGTGCACATAGTCACGAATACCTGAGAAAGAAAGAGTTTCAAGTTAAGACAGTTATCAGGTAAATCAAATAAAAACGTCAATTGACAAAAAGTACGTGAGAAAAGCATCAAAGTTTATTAAACGCGACGTACAGTAACTATGAAGTTGCTAGAGTAAGACAACGGAATGACGGCAACCTTAGTGACGGACCAGCAACATCAAATGGCAGCAGTTCCATAAAGCACATGGGGCACTTCGCAACACCGGGGCGTTTCGTTTATCCTAAAACGTTTCCACATGACACTATCAGCATTATCGCCATCAGACTTCAACAAGTCAAACCAGTGGCGTGTAGAAAACATGCCTAAGCACCTACGGTGTTTTGATCAAAGCAATGTGCTTAATAAAGAACGTTAAACGCACTTCCAACGGCACATTTCATTTGGTAAGTGAGTTGAAAAGAATCAAGAAGAGCGAAAAAAACGGTGGTCGATGATGAGTAGAAAACTAGTTCAAAATGAAAAATTTGATGGAATGGTGCAAATATTATCTTTTTTAAGTGAAAACTAAAGTTACGGCATCGATACTGAAAGCTACTGTTTTCAGTGGTGATTTCTAATGAACATAAATTTCGCATATACCTAGAAGACCATCCGAGAGTTGAGTACCAAATATAGGGTCCAGTTTAGAGATTAGTTCTACTCCCCCCCCCCTCTCCCAGCACACACACAAACACAGTTTCGAACCAGTAGGCATATTGCTCAAAAAATAACTCCTGTCTGACACAAAACACGTCACTTGGATCAAACGATTAATGGTGACAAGAAATACGATACCCGTTCCATCAGGCGTGTCATAGTCATTCCCGTACACATTGACGTAGGGCGAAAGACCTGCGGCAACTTGACAGATGTGAGGCATCAAGTTGCTTGGAGGTCCACTTGAATCCTCACCGATTCGCGCGGAAGGATGAGCGCCGACCGGATTAAAGTAACGCAAACTGACTATATTCCAAGAGGTATCAGCCTCATGAAGATCCTATGGATAGCACGAAGCATAAAAAGATGAAATAAATAATCAATAATAGATGTGTGAGTAAAAGGAAGGTTGCAGGAATAGTTTATCAGATTATCACAAAAGTACCTTGAGCAGTGTTTCAGCAAAATACTTTGTGGCTCCATACGGACTTGTGCATTGACCCAGAGGATGATTTTCTGTGAGAGGTAGAAACTGTGGAACACCATAAACTGTGCACGAACTAGAGAACACCAATTTTTTTACCGAATGTGCGTTCATCACCTGAAAAATCATAGAACCACAGGAACACAGGATAATAGTTTATTGAGAAACAGGAGGTCAGACGGAAGTTACATCAATGAGGATGAAAATGACAACATATTACTTATACCACAGACCAAGTAGTCATCTAATTGTTTATTTACGTTTTACTCCTTAAAGCGCACACAACGGGGTACAGATTCTGTATATATATGGTAGTCCATCGCATAAAGAAAACATGAAAAACGATCTGTGGGTACCTATTATGAAAGACATTATTTGAAACTCCTACGTGGTATTTAGGCTGTGAGTTAACTGGGCCTGAATAGCCGTGCTCTGGTCGCTTACTGCTTACTTCCGTTTCACTCAGTGTATACAGTAACGTAATAAGGCAGGTTTTAGGTGAGCTTGTAAATCTAATGTGCTTATAGTGAACTGATGCCATAGCATGAAATAAAACGCTCTTTATTCTTTTCTTTTTCTTTCATTTCTACTTCCTTTATTGAATGCAGGAAGATACAATTTTCAGGAAGGGAGGAGCGGCCAACCAAGTAGCTGTCATAGAACGCATAATGGTGAATCAGGCGGCGATGGTAGTGAAATTTGAACACACGTTCTCCTGGGTAATGATTTGGTGACCTTTAACACCACGCCACCACCGCCAACAAACAGTTAGGTGTTAGTTGGTTGCGCGCGATGCAATGAGTTTACTGCTAACCAATCTATTTTTATCCTGTTCTCTTAGTGGCCAAGTCTCTGCACCGTAGACCAGGACTGGCCGAACTGCTGCAGCATACACT